TGTATAGTATATATAGCTCCTCACTACCGGTTATCCGATATAATGCTTCCAATTACCCTGTGTTATCTCATATATAAAGCTTCCTACCCACATGTGTTTTCTTAGATGCAATTCATCCTCACTACATATCCTGTAAATCTATATTTGGGACAGTATGCCATCTGATCATTTGATTTTATTTCATTTTAGTGAATCAGTGTTACGTTGAGCTTAATTTACTTTGTAAAGTGAGCAGAACTTCTAACCATGATATAAGATATTTTCAAAGCAGATTGCTAATGGAGACACTAACAGCATTGCATGAAATCAAACAAAACAAAGATGAAAGACTGTTTATGTATATCCGACAGGAAGATGACAGAGCTACCTAAATAACAGCAAAGAACAGAAGCTTTACATGAGCCGAACACAATGATCTTTTTGAAAAGGGTGCATGAGTGAGGCTGCTGAAGCTGGAAGTTCTTTCTTACAGATCGTGAACAATGTGTACTGTCATGGACTATTCACGGGAATATACTTGAGATGAAAAAGCTTGGTATAATTCTTTCCAGGCCCCCTCGCTCCCACCCAGATATTTCAGCAACAAACAGACCCAAACAGACCTCACATTACTTAACTGAATCAAAGAATGTACAAAGATCTTTTACAACAAAAAGAAATTATTTTCAATGATTTCCAGAAACAAAACACATTTGATACCTCAGGTGGTGCTCTCTCCCTATAACCAGTCTATTTATGTACAATGGGTATCAAAATTATTGCATATTAGGCAGCAGGGAAGAATAAACATATTCAATTCCCTGAACAATTATATGTTAAAGAATTCAAACATTCAGGGCCATTGGCTCACAATTACAATGTAATTTAAACTGTTCTCAAGCCATATCTTTTATTAGTACAACCACTTATATTGTAATTACTGCCTAAATAAATGTATTCAAAGTGTAACCAAGAAGAAATATTTAAAAACAGCAGTGACAAACGATGTCATTAACTTTAATATCACTTTGGTTTGAATCACTTTGCTTAAAGACTGTGGGTTGGCAGAGTCGTGAGCCACATATAGTGGAAGATCTGATGATATATCATTATAGAGATGGTTGCTGATAGTCTCTGATGGCTTAAGGAGTCCTCCCTCACTTACAGCAGCCAGTTCACATTCTCAGTGCAGCAAATGTCCAAAAATCTCAACACCACCGCAGGGACGACGGAAAATGGTCATGCAAAGTTTGAAGGAATGTCAGCAGCTGACAACACTGCCTCACACCCACCTGAACATCAAACTATGCTGTGAGGCTAGACTCCAAACAGGAGCAGCATTTGGCTGCTCTGGTCTTGTGCTGGATTTCCACGATCATGAGGCAAACACCTGAGTACAAGACTGGTATAACCTATGCATTTTAGCTTGTTAACTCATTCTCACTGTGTCACAGCTTTAGCGACTAATAGACAAAAATCATCTAAAAGGCATGACTGAACTTTTGTTCGTAACTTATTTTCATAAAACAAGCAGTTATCCTGACAGCAGCACTGGGATGTTAATAAAGTCAACACAATTTCACATTTAAGACTTGTGATGGGCTATGTAATGAACCTATGCTTGTGCTCACATTGCAGTCAGTCACTAGATTTTTAAGTGCAATTGTTATTTTTTATTTTTTAATGATTTTTTGGAGATGATTTTTCTACTCCCCTTCTCACTAGCCCTCAAGACCTGGTGCCCATTACTTTACAGCTCCCCTGACATTTCAATGAGCCATGTGACCAGGTTGAACTTCTCCTTACATAGGAACAGCAGTAAGCCATTCAGCCCCTCAAGCCTGTTCCACCTATCAATGAGATCATAGCTGATATGTGGCTTAACTCCATATAGCTGCCTTTGGCCCATATCCCTTAATACCTTTGCCTTACAAAAATTTATCGACGTCAAATTGAAAATTAACAGCTGACCTAGCATTAGCAGCTGTTTTTTGGAAGACAGTTCCAAATGTGTGCTTCCTAACATTTCTCCTGAACTGTCTGGCCCTAATTTTTACCTTGTCCATTCCCTAGTTCTGGAATCCTCAAACAGTGGAAATAGTTTATTTTTTTTACTTACCCTGCCTTTTCCAGTTAGTATCTTGAAGACTTTGATCAGATCACCCCTTCATCTTCTAAATTCTACAGAAACCATGACTAATTTGCATAACGTTTCCTTGCAACTTAACCCCTGAAGACCAGATATCATTCTTTTAAGCCTACAGTGCTCCTTCCAAGGAAAATGGATCCTTCCTAAGCTGTGGTGCCCAGTTCTGCTCATAGTTCTCCTATTGGGGTCTGACCAGGGTTTGTTTTATAACTACAGTATATATTCTGTGTCCTTGAACCCCAGACCTCTAGATATAAATGCCATCTATCAGCCTGCTAGTCACTAAGTTGCCTGTCCAGCAATGTATTTGAGTAGTGGTTTTAATAAGGATCCACCTTCAGAACCCCTCCACCCACCAATGCAGGCTCCAAAATGAGCTGAAGACACGTAAAATTAGATCTCACCAATAAACAGCAACGTCTTCAGCCTGTACACCAGCAATTGCTGGCCACTGTGTTTGGTAGGTAACATGTAGATTTGCACAGACATTAATTGGTACAGTTTTAGATAGGCACATACTCAGCACTCGAAGTTGAAGCTTAGAAACATGAATTGGTGATGGGCTTGTGATTGTGGAGACTGTTGAACGCTGAGGTATGTCGTGGGATGGGTTATGGGGGGGTGCAGGGTGGCAGCAGGCTGGTGTGTGAGGTGGTGGGATGGACAGAATGGTGGAGTAAGGTGCTGGGGACAGGTTGGGGTGTACATGAGAAGCAACAGAAAACTGAATGCATCAATCAGTCTCAATGAACAGTTAGGTAATGGGACACTGCTTGCATGAAAATAATTCTTTGACAATCCCTCCCAAAGCAAATTGTGCAGCTGAGATCTAAATGACAAGTTGTTGGTGCAGTTGCACTGAGAGCAAGGACTTGCATTTATAGTTTGTTTTTACTGAGGGTAAAACATACCAAGGTGCTTCACCTAAAAGTATTGTCAAACAAAAGCCAGCATTAAGGCTGATTTTTGGAGGCTTCTGCAAATGCACATCAGACAGAAAATTACATGCCCAGAACTTGCTCCTAAAGGGTAAAGCTCGGAGCTGGGACCTTGTGCTTAAAAAAATGACCCTATACCATCAGCTGCGCTCAACTAGTACAGTCCCTTGCTCATGAGTTTGGGTTTGAGGGCTAATCCAGTCCTTCAGGTGAAATTGAGGCGCAGTCTGGCCATTTCAGTAAAGTATCTCAGTGAAAGAAATATTTTCAGTGTTGTGGCAAAGATTCTGTGACCAAAAGTGAGTGAAATACTCATTCCTTTTACTGTCATTTGCAGGATATTGTTCAATGCACAATGACTGTTGTATTTCGCCACATGATAACCGTGACTGCGTTACATAATTACTGTAATTACTTATAACAAACGCTTTGAGATGCTTTTGTCAGACATGTGGAGATATTTGGCAAGTATACAATAATTTACCCGGAATCTATTGCTCAAGGCAATCGTTGGGAATTTCCTGGAAGCTGACCCTCTTCCACCCCTGTTAGAAAGACTGTTTACCTGGGCAAACACCTATCCCCTGGCAGAGTGGCACTGAGGATATTCATGGCAGAACAGTGTTTGGACTGGGTGGTAATAAAATGAATAGGTGCCTCATTTCATTGAGCTGGAGATCAATAAAGTTCCTTGTGTGACATAAAGGGCCATCCTTCAGTGTCACTTGGTCAAAATCTTGGAACTTTTCCCAACAGGCATTATGGGTCAACCTACAGCACATGGACTGCAGTGGCTCAAGGCAGCGGCTCACCCATCACCTTCTCAAGGGACAATTAGGGATGGGCAAGAATGCTGACCTAGGTAGCAACAACCATGCCATATGAATGAATAAAAATAAATAAATCGATCACCACTGCCTATATGTATTTGCTCTTAATAGTGAAAGGATTTATAACTGGTGACTTGGAATGTTGTGGATTTTGTAGTAGGTTAAGAAGAATTTTGCCACAAACCTGTTTTATGGAAATGAAGTGATGGTGCATTTTAACATGAATGTGGATGAAAACAGCCTAGTGGTATTATCAATATGCTATTAATCCAGAGACCTAGGTAATGCCTTGGGAACTGGGTCCACCATAGTAGATGGTGGAATTTGATTTCAATTAAAAAATCTGGAATTAAGAGTCTAATGATGATTGTGAAGCTGTTGTTGCTGTTGTCAGGAAAAAACCCATCTGCCTTTCAGGAAGCCAAACTGTTGCCCTTACCCAGTCTGGCCTATATGTGATTCCAGACCAACATCAATGTGGTTGACTCTTAACTGCCCTTTGGACAAGGAGGGTTGGGCAATAAATGCTGGTCTGGCCAGCGATGCCCAAATTCTGGGAATGATTTTTTTCCAAATCGTGATCAGCAAACAAGCAAAATAAAGGATTAGCAAACACTTTTTTTTTCCCACGTGAACAGTGTCCCCTTTACATACAAGGCCTGAGTGAATCCACTAGAACTCTCCTTGTCCACTGTGTGTTGTTGCTCAGGAAGGTGGGGAGGAGGGGCAAGACGGGAGGGCAGGAGGAGAGGGTCAAGAAGGGAGGTGGAGGGGAGGTTGGAAGGGGTGGCAGGAGGGGCAGTTGGAGGGCACAGGGCAGAGGTGGGATGTGAAGGGGAAGAGGTTGGTGTGGCAGAAAGAGAGATGATAGAGGGGATGGTGTGAAGGGATCTCACAATGAAACGATATGACAGCTCAGCATGTGCTGGGACCCCATCCTCTCACACTTCGAGCTCTGGGTAGATGCCCTATCAATGTTAAGTGGTTAATTTGTTAAACATTTTACAGACGCGATGGTTTAGCATTTCCTGAAGGTCTTTACTATGCCTCTTGTTTGGGAGGATCCTGCTTCAGCTGGTTTCTGCGATCTAACTTGCTCATAACCTGTGTAATGTCGACCACCTTCGAGCCACTGGCAGCTGCTTTTGCTCTGGCCTCCTGCTCAAGCTGCCGCAGGACAACAGGACTGGGACTGGAACGTCTGTGTCTCCTCATGAAAGGAAAGTTACTGAAAACAACAAGATATCATCGTATAAGAGGCATGAAGAATGTCATTGTTTCTTCGATGTTTGTACATCTATTCATGACAGATAAATAACTCAGCCCACTGCCCATAGCTTGTCAATACATCAGCAACTGTGGCATATATGTCAGAAATCCCTGGTCTCTGGTGCTTTCACCAAACTGGACTGCAGCAGTGCTAGAATCATAGAATCCCTACAGTGTGGAAACAGGCCCTTCGGCCCAACAAGTCTGCACCGACCCTCAGTGCACCCACCCAAACCCATTCCTCTATAACCCACCTAATGTACACATCCCTGAACACCACGGGCAATTTAGCATGGCCAATCCACCTAGCCTGCACATCTTTGGACTCTGGGAGAGAACCGGAGCAAACCCACGCAGACATGGGGAGAACGTGCAAACTCCACACAGACAGTCCCCGAGGGTGGAATTGAACCCGGGTCCCTGGCACCATGAGGCAGCAGTGCTAACCACGGTGCCACCATGCCACCCCGATAAAACAAACAACTACAGAGATCTGAAACAAACAAAAAACAGAAACGGCAGAAGAAACTCAGCAGGTGTGGCAGCATCTGCGGAGACAGAAACAGAGTTAACGTTTCTTCAGAACAAGAAACATCTAGGGAAAGCTGGCATTTAAGTTGATAACCCTGGGGGTAGGGGAGAAGCTTGAGCAGATGGATGAAGAGGGCGCCCAGAGAGAGAGAGAACAAAGGATAGGCAAACCAAGGGATTGCTGTTAATAGGCCCAACACCCTGTAGTAGTTCTTTGAAAGAATTATTCAATTTGTCCCACTGCCCCTGCTCTTTGCCTATTGCCAGCAGATTTTTAAAATTCTCATTTGAAAGGTCCTAATAAATGTGCTTCTCTTGCCATCTCAGACACTGTATCCAAGATCACATCTCAATGCCAGTTTAATGTGACTAGTTTAAGAGTGGAAACGTTGTGGTACTGACCTTTTTGGCTTGGTCTCTTCAGGAATGAGAGCTGTACCCTGCATCTCCTTATAAATGGGGGATCTTAAGAAACGTGGGTATGAATCCTGTGCAAGAGAAACAAGGAGTAATGAGGCGAGTGTGACTGGACGAAGTTCAAATTACTGGCGTTTAGAACAATGAGAGCTCACCTTATCGAAACATATAAGATTCTTAGGGTACTTGACAGAGTAAACGCAGGGAGGTTGTTTACCCTGTGGAAGAGTCTAGGGCTAGAGGGCACAACCTCAGAATAAGGGCATAACCTCAGAATAAGGGCTCACTCATTTAAAACAGAAATGAGGAGGAATTTCTTTTCTCAAAAGAAAGTGAATCTGTGAAATTCCTTACTGCAGATATCGCCAGGGTGGATCATTAAGTATGTTCAAGGCTGAGGTAGATGTTTAATCGGTAAGGGAATCAAGAGTACTGGGGAGAAGGCAGGAAAGTGGAGTTGAGGATTATTAAATCAGCCATGATCTCATTGAATGGAGGACCAGACTTGATGGGCCGAATTACCTACTTCTTTTCCTACATCGCATGGACTTAACCTGCTCTTCAAAAAGCTGCCTTTTTGCTCACCTCACGATCTTGGTCACGAATTATGTTATTGAGGAGAAAATGGGCAACATTGATGCATCTGCCTACCCATTAAAACTGTGTACTCAGGGGTCACAGCACAAAAAGACTGTAAAACCTGCCAAGAGAAAGACAAATGAATGGTTGACCTTTTTCATCAGCATGTAGATGTGAGTCTGTGCAGCATCCAGCACATAACGATGTGGGTGTTTCAGGCCTTTCACCGTAATCTCCATGGTTCTCCCATCAATGTTAATCCAACGCCTCGCACCCTGTGCCAGGAATGTTCTGAGGTCAAAGAGATCTACATTAGTGAGTTTTTGGCTAAGTATAAGGAGGATTTACTGCTGGCTGCTTGTGCTTGTTTAACACGTTACCACTGAGTTTAGGTTGTGGGCTAAGAGGTGCGATAAAGAAGGTGATGCATTAGCAGTTATTTCCTGTGCAGTAGTCGTTGCTGCTCCTACAATGATTAGCAACTCAGCAAAGTCCTATGAACACTTTTAATGAGACTTACAAAAACAAATAGATTGGCCACTGCTTTAATGTCTTAGTTCAACAGTTCGATGATTATTTCTTCCGAATTGGCCAATGCTTTCCTGCATAACATGGAATTATTATTCCTGTATCAAGAACATGCTATTGTTGCACAGCATTAACAGAAAGCAGCACAGCCTTTCAAAGCGTACACAGTGTTGAAATGTTGGAAATACAACAGCCAATTTGAGCACAGGTAATTCTCACAACTCTCCCCGTTGTACGTAATACTGTGGAATCTTTTACATTCAACTGAGAGGTCAGATGGGGCCTTGTTTTAACGTCTCAATGTTACAACCAGTACGTCTATTTTTGCAAACCTCCCTCAGTACTACACTAGAGCATGGCAGCCTACATTTGCGCTGATGCCTCTGGAGTGTGACTTTAACCCATAACCTTTGACTCAGCCAAGAGACTAATCCCTCTGTTATACTTTACTCTTTCTTATTAGTTTAAAATTAATTTTATTGTTATTCTTTACCCTTTTACCTTCTGCCAGTTTATGCTTAACTTTCTGGCAGGATTTACACTGCAAATTTACTATTGAAGTAAAGTAATTTAGTATAAGTACTGTAAGTCCTCACTTAAAGTAGACTCATTTAATGTTGTTCCGCTTTAGCGTCGTTAATAAAGTAGTGCCAAAATATTAACGTTGTTTTTGCTTTAATATTATTTGCCACGGACTTGCTGCAATGCATATGTGACCTTTCCCCCAATATTTCCATTCCTGCTCAGTTTTAAATCCGTCTCTCCCACCCTTCACACCCCATCCCCTCTAGCTCCCACTCTTCACACCCCATC